ACAGAAAAAAAAAAACAAAAGTCCACATGACATGTTCCGAGGCACCAAAACTAGTATGTATAGATGAAACCCGGCACACTGCCGGCCGTGTTGGTGCTGCCTCCGGCATCACCAAACAGTAACTACCACGGGCAAGCTGCTGGCCTAAGTACGTCGTGCACTTAAAAAGGTGGCAGGCCTGCAAGCTGGACTAATACAGGCAAAGGCATCCACCCTCCAACGTACGTACGTACGAACTCGAACCCTCTTTGCGGTGCCGTGGTTACTATGTTGTGCCATACCACCCAGCCCAAGGTATCGTTGCGAATTCTCCTGCTACTCGTCCTGGCAGACAACCTCTCTTTCTGGCTCTCCCTCTCTTTATCTCTGCCGCAATCAAATAAATTCTTTCAGTTTTCTTCTGAACCCCAAGACAAACCATCAACTTTCCAAGAAAGAAAGAAAGAAAGAAAGAAAGAAAGAAAGAGACCGGTAAGAGGTTTAAGTGTGTAGCTTAGGTGTTGAACTTATCCTACAAAAGAAGCGAAAGGGTAGCGCTGGCTCCCTGCTCTACGTTCACCCCGAATGCCACACCACGCAATGACAACGAACCACCCCCTCCCCTCCCCCTTTCCCATAACACAACACAAAGACGTAGGTACCGAAACAAAAGTCAGGCTGAGACAACAAAGAAAGCGGAGCCAGTTCTGAAGCAGCACCAGCGTCAGTTACAGCCAGCGTTCTTTGGACGCAATTCGTTCCTTTCGCAGCCCTCCGCTTCTTGACTTGTTTCCAAATCAAACCCCACCTACAGTACCTCCGTTCCTTACACATTCCGTTGGGGAGGGGTCAGGAGGAGTCAGCAAGGCGTCGTTCTCGCATGACATCACGTCAGATATTTCGCGGCGGTCTTCTTCTCCCCCCTCATGTCACCACCCGTCCGTCTATCCCAAGCGCCACTTTTTATAGCCTTAAATCATCCGCCCACCCATCCATCCAGAATTGTCACTCTTTTTTTTAAGTAACCCGACACATACATATATTCCCATCCGACTCCATCCGCTCTCTCGTCGCTAATGCAAACAAATAAGCTCCTGACGAACGAGAGTCTGTTCAAGTCTTCACCCAGTGGGGGGGGAGGGAGGGGGCGGGCGCCCTTCCCCTCCGGCGGTGCCTCTCTCTGCCATGTTTTCGGTAAGGATGTTTGTCAGAATCGTCCGGTCTGGCTGACGCCTGCGCTCGACCACATCTCGCCCCCCGAGATTCTTCCCTCCCAATATTGTTGTTGCTGCTGCTGCTGTTGCTGCTGCTGCTGCTGCTGGCGCTGCTCAGCGTGACGCGAGTCGACCAATCCAAGTAGGACGACAACAAGGCGCAGGGTACGGCAGGCACAACAACACCGGTCAGACAACAAGAACGCGCACGTTTTATCGCGTCCACCCCTCTCGGGGTGTTTTTACGCCTTGGCACGGATGTACGTACGTGTAGCGTGTGTTGCGTTTTAATCGTAATCTTTGATTGTATTTTATTGTTTCTTGCAACAAACACGACAAAAAAAAAAAAAAACAGAAAAACTTCTACCCTACGCTGTTGCGCCCCAGCCCGGCCACCTCCTCTGCTAGAGTGAACAGGGACCACGATCAGACAGACAGGCAGACACATCAAAAATAGAAAATGGTTGTATGGATAGGCGAAACACAATAGATCGACGCCGCTGACTCAACCCACCCAAACCAGTCTCAATTCGATCATTACCTGCGGGTCATCATCGAACACTTGGTCCAGGCTGACCATGCTTCCCGGCGTGTGCGCCTGGTGCAGGGTTGAGGGATGAGGGTGGTGGTCGTTGTTAGCGTTGTTCGTCGGTGTTGACGGCTACAGGCGTTACTGCTGTTCCCATCATTCAACGACGTGGATGGTAAATCGTGCTTCACCGTGCGCTTCGGTTTCTTCGCGCAAAGACAGACGGTGCCAGCAATCGAAAACAAAACAAACCGGAGGCAAGTGCACGCACACACATACAGGAAGAGAGCAAGAGCTTTGAGCCAGATGACCTTGCCCACAACAAACGACGCAGGGCTAGAGAAGAACTGTGGAATATAGTTGTAAAAATGACGATGAGAGTGATGGTTGTGAAAGCAAGGAGGATGATGGTGAAAGCACTCCAAAACGAACTCGAGTGCAAGGTAGCAGCCTCGGTAGACGCATGTGGTCTTCTTCTGTTGCTACCGTTTCTGTCTTTCATCCGGAGAATAGCTTAGCCTCCCCCATACCGCCCCCTCACGGGGTCCAAGTTAATGGCATTTACAAGTGTTTTGTGTTTTCAACCGCACTGAGACTGACGTTTTCATTGGTTAGCCGGTTAGCTTGCGCGGTCCATGCTTCAGCAAGAAACACACGCACACGCATCCATCCATTCACGCACCCCGTCCACGACCGGAGAATCCATCCCGTCGAGGAATCGTCCCAACGGCGGGCCCCCCGGCGACTCCACGAGTAGGCCGTCCTCCCCCCCACCCCC